CATGATGTATGAAATATATACCAGCACAGTACCTTTGTTTCTGACAGGACAAAGTTCAGTCTTGGATTTTCTGCTTCTCACAATCCACGTAATCCCAAACACATTCAGTGATGAGTAATGATGGCATTCTTGATTCATTTTACCAAATCAGTTTTTTTTTTATGTTCATTTCAGTGATAAAATATCCAATTCATTTTCATGGTGGGGGTGGCGTTACTGTGGAATGAACCCACTCAATAACATCCGACCGATTCTCTACGACACAAGATAAAGTAAGTAAAAACCAATATATGATATTACACATACAGTTTATGCTGCAAAAGTAAACTACGTTTTGCCCTCATTAATGTAGGCTGACTGATAGCTAACTAGCTAACAGACCAATAATATTCAGAGACAGAATTTAAGGTCAAATATGTAATTTAGGAATTAAATTTAGGGATTGACCCTTCTGAGTTTTAGACTCATTTTTAGTCAAATGTGGCAGAAACTGGCATATCTAACTGAGTGAGTGAGTTATGTTGCTATATGTATTAAACTTTTTTTGAACTCCCGTTTTTCCAAAACAGTTTGTAGTCCATGTACTGAATAATGAGCCTCTTTTTTACACAAGTGGATTAATTTATATCTAATCTCCTCAGAAATATCCTTCTGAAAAATAAATAACTTACCAAATAATTGTTTTGACTGGAAATTATTGGAGAAATGGTGGTCTCTGTACAGTACTGTGGATTTAATCTAAATTTATCCAGAAAGGACTGTCTACTGTCGAGACCACATGAAACCCCCCAGACTTGATCACGATTTAATTCACCTCAATTTTGCAGTACCCCTTAGGATAAATGGAGTCATTAAAATAATCAAGGATGTCTAATAGGCTTAATGACAAGCACTAGTTGCCTGTCAATCAAAGACACTCTGAAAGAACAGCACACTCAGCCTCACTCAGAAGAAATGTAGAGCTAGATTACATGTACAGTCAAAGTCATACGTTTACATACACCTAGTTTGAAGTCATTTAAAATGCGTATTTATCCCCATCCACAGATACCAAGTCAACAAACTATATTTTTAGCAAGTTGTTTAGGATGTCTACTTTGCACATGACTCAATTTTTGGCAATTTTTCCAACAAATGTTTACAAACAGATTATTTCACTTATAATTTACTATATAAAAATTCCAGTGGGTCAGAAGTTCACATACACCAATTTGACTGTGCCTTAAAATAGCTTGGATAATTCCAGAAAATGATATCAAGGCTTTAGAAGCTTCTGAAAGGCTAATTGATATCATTTGAGTTAAATGGAGGTGTACCTGTGGCAGTATTTTAAGGCCTACTTTCAAGACCTACTTGCATCTTTGCCTGACATCAGGAGAATATCAAAAGAAATCAGAAAAAGAATTGTGGACCTCCACAAGTCTGGTACATCCTTTGTAGTAATTTCCAAACACATGAAGGTACCACGTTCATCTCTTCAAATGATAATATGCAAGTTTAAACACAATTGGACCATGCAGCCGTCGTACCGCTCAGGACAGAGACGTATTCTGTCTCCTAGAGATGAACATACTTTGGTGAGAAAAAAATCAATCCAAGAACAACAGCAAACAGCCTTAAGAAGATGCTGGAGAAAACAGGTACACAAGTATCTACATCAACAGTAAAACATGTCCTATATTGACATGACCTGAAAGGCTGCTCAGCAAGCAGGAAGCCACTGCTCCAAAACCACCAAAAAAAAGGCAGATCACTGTTTGCAACTGCATATAGACACAAAGATCTTAATTTTTAGAGACATGTCCTCTTGTCTGATGAGGCAAAAATAGAACTGTTTTGCCATAATGACCATTGTTATGCATGGAGGAAAAAGGGGGAGGCTTGCAAGCCAAAGAACATCCCAACTATGAAGCATGGGGGTGGCAGCATCATGTCATTTGGATGATTTGCTGCAGGAGGGACTGGTGCACTTCACAAAACAGATGGCATTATGAAGAAGGAAAGTTATGTGGAGATATTGAAGCAACATCTCAAAACATCAGCCAGGAAGTTAAGGTTTGGGTGCCAATGGGTCTTCGAAATAGACAATGACCCCGAGCGTACTTCCAAAGCTGTGGCAAAATGGCCTAAGGACAACAAAGTGAAGGCAATGGAGTGGCCATCATAAAACCACCACAAAGATTCTGCCAAATTTAACAAGTTTTCAAAAGTTATGTGTAATTGAAACTTCCATTAATTGGCTTAAAATGATAAGTAATGGATCTTATGGGTAATTGGCTCCACATTTGTAAACAACTCTATTGTGACTGTGATGTTTTTGTCTTATCAAATTTGTAATTTGCTGTTCAGTGATAACATGATTGGGATGATTTGGAACCAGTATTTTACTTCAGAAAGAAAAGAAATTTGTCATAATTTAAAACAATGGGAAACTATCTGCCATGTGTTACTATGAATCTAAAATGTCCATCTATTTGGCACTGCATGCATAAGTGCCATATGTAGTGTGCTGTATAGATAATGGGGTGTTATTGCATATTCAACTCCATATGAGAAATAGAAAGAAATATCATGCATATTGTCACAGTCTGCTCTCACTGGTTGTCACCTTTTCCTGCCTTTTCCTGTTTTTTAATAAGGATGGATCTGTCCTCACATGCCTTTGTCTGCCTGTGGTTTTGATGCAAACGCTAGTAAGTGTGTACTCGTATTCCCTCACCTGACTCTCCATTATTATACACACTTTCTGGCAGCTTTTGATCTACTTGTAGCTCTCATGCTGTAGATAAACGATCTCTCATGCAAAAAAGTAATATACTAAAAATATATTATGTATTCTGCTTATATTTTTGACTATATTGACAACTTATATAGTCAGCTCAAAAGCTATTGCCACCCTTGACTGAAAATGTGCTAAAATCAAAATATTAAATAAACCACACACGCACTTAGTGATATATCTGCTTAAACAAATGAGTAATATTTTTATTTTTTCACTGTTTTGTACATGTGACATTTTTTGTAAAGATCATGTAATCATGGTCACAAAAACATAAATAAAGCATAGTTTGGTTAAAATTTGTATAATATAAAAAAACAAAATAATTGATCATCCAAAAAAGGGGCGGGGTGGAAAAGTTAAAGTATGTTTTTTGTTGGAGGGACTAATAAATTTCTCAAAGCAAATTGTCTCAATGCATTTCTCAATACATTTTTAGGAACAACTGAATAATTTGAGTATAATTTATTTTGTATTTTTATAGTGTCAATCATTTTGGGGTTGACTGTAGCAATGTATTTCATTTAGGGTATTATATGTTATATGTTATGTTATAATAGTATATATTATATGTTACCAAAATAACATACTGTTTTGCAGCCTCAGCAAACCAAAAGCAGAATATAGATAATGAGTATCGGAACACAGTTATTGGTGCTTTAAATGTAGGTACGGTGAGCTCAGAGAGTAAATCAACAGGCAAGTGTCCAAATATAGACAGACTATGTGTCAGTCTATGAAAAAACATCACTTGAACATGAATCATGCCCTGTCTTGACGAATCCTCACACATCTACTCTGAGTGAGTGTGCAGTGGCATAAATACTGGGGGTGCGGTGGAGGGGGGGGTGTAATCACACTATGTTGCCTATGTTGCGGCAACCCATAAACTATTTATTGGGATACTCACATAATATCAACACAATTAAAAATTTGTGATAAAAGATCCAATTTCTTAACAACATACCTCACCAGTTAGCTTCCATCAACACTACATAGACAGAACGGATGTCTATTTACCTCCCTCTTTTTCATAATGCAGCTCATTAATGGTTTTCAAACACATCCTTCACCACCTGTGACATTACATGTTTATTATTCATTCATAAACTCTAAAATCCTCAATACATAGTCTAATGTAAACATTTAGTCTAGTAGGTGGAGTGGAGAGCGTCAACTTGTTTGTGTCATAACAATAGTGAGTAAACATCATTTTTTATTCAGTGATATTTCATAAGATATTCTTCTTTTTTGTTTGCTTGTTTGTTTTTTGCACTGGGACCTATCAGATCTTCATTACTGTTGTATGCAAATGGTCAAATTCATATAAGCATGGTAGGGCATTGTTTGGCATAGTTGGTAGTTCATTTTAGGCTGTGTTCTAAATGTCTCACTTTTTGGCTTGATCGTGAATATAGATCAAAGCCTCATTCTTCTGCATGAGGGCACTTTTGATTATCTATTGCCCTGCTGAAAAAGAACCATTAGGATTAAAACCTAACGGGTTTGCTTTTAACAGGAATTGGCCTAAAGGTTTCCAATAGAGACCACTAGTTTCCTGGAGAAGACCTTTAGAGACCTTCAGAAAATCATTAAATATATTTAGAATCAGTCACCTGTTAAACCATCAGGATCATTTACATTGTGTTATCAACCCATTAAAAAAGCCAAAACACATTACAAAACCATCAGGAACCAAAACACGCCGTGGTTTCTATGGGTTTTCTCAGCAGGGTAGTGACGGCTGGAACTTAAATTATTCAACGCTAAGTCTTTATTCTCTACCTCCAGACAGCTTTAGCCACTCAGACTGTCAGGCTGTCTGACCGTGACTGAACTGGTGTATCTTTCTACAGGTTGTCTGTGAGCATCACCCTTCAAACGGAACGTAGAAGAGACGTTCAGGCTGTTTAACAGAGCGGAGGAATCAAATAAAGTCCACACCGCGTTTGTGTTTAAAGAACGCAGCGCTCCTGTGGCTCGAGGCAGAATCACCCGGTTCGAGAGGAGGGGCGATGGGGGGGCTGGCCAGGACCTCTGATGTCATGTTTGGGAGGAAAGAAGGAGGTGGAGGATGAAGAGGAGGAGGAGGATGAAGAAGAGGAGGAGGAGGAGGGTGAAGAGGGGGGAGGGGGATATTGGCGCGCTCTGCAGGCTCGAGGCTCCGTCCAGTCCCGCTCGCGGTCACACAACACAGAGGCAGAAGCGAAGTTTCCCGCGCGATCGACGGCTACGCGCGAGCGGCGTCTGTTGCTACAGCAACCAGGTAGAGCAAACATCACATTTATAAGAGAAATATGATTTGTGAGAGAAAATGACTGTGAAATATTGCGTGTAAGGCTTTATTGAAAGGAACTGAAGTGACGGAGTAGCTGTGAAGGCAATGAAGCTGAGTGTTGAACTTCAATATAAAGAAGAGCTCCTGATACAGCGGTGTCGGATTAACTCGTATAGTGCTCGTTTTTTGAAATCAGTATGAGTTAATTCAACACTATAATACTTAAAACAATACTGTTTAAGTTACTTTAATGCAGTACAGGGTTTAAATTGACTATGTAGTGGTTAGTCCAACGCAGCAGGGGTACATTTAACACTGTAGGTGTTAATGCAACAGTGTATTAACACTATTTGATGTAATTCAACACTATATTGCTTATTGCAACACCATAGAGGTTTCAATTTGTACCGAGTTACATGGACACTGTAGGGGTTCATTCAACACATTAGGGCTACATTTAACGCTGTAGGGGTTAATACAACATTGCAAGTGTTAATACTACACTGTCAGAGTTAAAGCAACACTGTAGGTTTTTATAAAAACCCTGTCAGAGGTAAAGGAACAATCTGCTGTTCTTTTGCTGCGTAGTCCTTGTTAAATGTATCCACCCTAACATTTTTGTTCACTGATTCTCCCCAGGTGCCATCCTCGTCCATCCTCATTTTAGTTTATCTTCGGATTTCTCACGCCACCTGGATTCAAACATGGATTCAAACCTGGTGGAAATACTTAAAGGAGAAAAGTGCCTTTCCCCAAATGACTGTGAGTTTAACTTTTCCCTGTCTGGAGACCCTGAGCCCCGGAATATGACCCCCAGCCCTGGATGGACCCCAGAGCCCGAGCCCCTGTCCCCCCTCAGTCCGGCTATCACAGCCGTCTACTCAGTGGTGTTTGTGGTGGGACTGGTGGGAAACTGTCTCGTCATGTTCGTCATTATCAGGTATGATGCACTTACTGTGTGTTTACTTGCTGAGCATTGGACAAAATAATATGGTCATTTCAGCATAAATCTTATCACAATTTCATATGTGGCATCTGACGTCACACATGGGCACTCAGATTTCTATAAGCGTCATCAGATTGTCTTTTCCAGACAGTTGTTGCAGCTGGACTTTTGCATGAAGGCCTCATAGTTAGTACAGAGTTGTTATTAATTTACTTGTATAACTCTGGAAGAACTGTTCATTGTTTCATGCTTTTAGGCTGTAGAGATGTAGCTTTAACAGAAGCAAATACATGAAATGGCCTAAAATCTAAGATCTAGGCTATAAGTCCTGATATCTGTACTATTTTTAATATCTCATTTGTATTTGTGTAGAAATTGATTCTGTGTAAGCCTGTTGCAAGTGGCTTCAGAGACTTTATGTATTCATGTATTTATTTATTTATTTATTCATTGTGATTACTGCAGTTGGTGACATTGGCTAAAATATGCTAGGCATGCTTTTCTTAGTATTATTTTCTTGTTCATTTTTTTCATATTGGCAGCCTGTGTTTGGACAGAAACCAGTTGTGAGTGAGTGTGCGTGTGTGTGTGATTTAAAGCGATAGTTCCCTTCTCTAATTCAGTGAATGCTGATGCAGTACTTTTTAATAGCACTGCTGTAGAAGCCTCCAGCTAGAGCTCTATTTATGAGTCAGTTCTGAGATAAATCAAAACTTAGATTTGGTGAAAGACCCAGAGAAAGAAAAAAGAGCGAGAGAGAAAATCTCTGGTCTTCCTCTGAGACACACAGGTGTTACTCAGTGGTGATCCTTTATAGATCCTATCAATATAAACCTGTCAATATGCCAAGCCTCTGCTGATTTGTCTCTGTGGGGCAGATGGGTTTTTGCTCTGCCTCTTCATCTTAAAGACTGATCCTTATTTTTGAGTGCAACTTGACAAAGACTAAAGTGATGTTGTATCCCACGCCTGCTTTTTTACTCCTGCACTAAAAATTTAATAAGTTACAGCATCAGCACTCGATTTTAGTTTTATTGCAAATGTGAATTTCAAAGGTTAGGGATGAAATGATATCCTCTCCTGTACAATCGAAAAGGCATCCATAAGCTGTAGAGGTAGAATCTTCCTGTTAAACCAGCAGTATGTCAACATAACTCAATTCCATGGATAACATCACATTGTTTATGTATTTCTGTGAGGTGATATTAGCCACAAACTACTGGAAGGAATATTTGTAGGCCTTTTCTGGCCTTCTTCCAATATACTGGCACTCAAGTGACCAACTCTCATATCAATGTTTTGTATACACTGTCTGTATAGTATTTTCTACAATGTATGTCTAAAGGCATCCAGACGTTTTTAATTACTAAATTCAGTTCTATTAAAGTGCACCCACTGTTGACACAGGTGAAGGGATATAAGGCAGTGGGACTGGAGCACCATTGAGTACCTTGGTAATGAGATTGAGTGGCATTTTCTGATCCAGAACTAATCATCCCACATCAGTACCTGACCTTACTAAAGCGCTTGTGGCCAAATGCAATAAAGTCCTCACGGCAATGTTCCAGAATCTAGTGTAAAGCCTAAAGAAGAGTAGAGATCAAGTAGCAAAGAGTGGACAAACTCCTTATCAATACTGTTGATTTCAGAAGAAATTTTGGGTGAAGAAGTGTCTACAAACACTTGGACATATAGTGTACGTATACTAGTTAGAATACCTGGCTGATACACCTGCCTAGTGGTGTTGTGATCTGTATACGCTGTGCACTCATCTAAGAGCCACCTGCTCATGAGGGTGGAAATGTAGATTTAATGATCAATTGGTCTTCTGTTTTTAGAGTCCACTATTGCTAATGAGCATTAGCTAAACATGTTATGTATTCATCCTATGGTCAGTGTACCCAATGCATTTGTAACAGGGTACATGAACACATTTGTGATTTTGACTAAGAAACAGGCTCTTCAGAAACGATATTCAGCAATAAACAGTAAATTATAAGGAACTTAATTTATTTAAGCCTTTGTTAGGGTATGCTTATCTGAAGAGCCCATTTGTTTGCCTACTTTTTCAGTCCTGCTTTTTTATCAAATTGTTAGTAACTTAATTTGTCCTACTGTTCCTGGAAATTGTTCAATTAGTTTTTTCCATCCACCCAAAAGAGAAACACTGAACTAAACCTGAACAAAGGAAGGTCTAGCACTCCATCAACAATTCTCCATTTTGGTTCTTGTGGGTGACCAACATGTTCTAACAAACGCCTAGGAGCTACCCAGTCCCTTGTCTGTTTTGTGCTCCTCTTATCCCAACCTATTTTTGGATGAAGAATGCTTTTTCATAAGGAATCTTTAAAGTATAGGATGTTCTGAAGTCGTCTGGTTTCTTCTTTGACTACTGCCAAAACAGAGGGTTGTGAGTAACAGAACATCACTCAGACAAACATGGGACATTTATTATGCTGTCCACTAAAACTAAAGGACTAAAGTCAGCATTAGTCCTGGGGTGCTGTTCTGCCGATTCTTGATTGAAGCTTTATTAGCACAGCCATGGTTACTGACAGCTATTTTTTTTCTCAACCATATTGATTATGTCTGATTGGTGTTATTTTCTAGCAAGTTGCTGAATTAGCCTTAATGTATAGGCTTTCCTTTTCAAGTTTTTATCGCATTTTGTAAAACATAAAAGCAAATCCGAGTGTGTCTGCATCAAATCAAAGTGTGAAATATTTCTCTTGTTCATTTTAGACTTTTTTTCATAATGGGGAATGATTCATATCAGATCTGAATCATTTCTGGTAAATCTCACTTTCAAAAATTAAAAGATATTTTTTTTGCCAAGAGCATATTCACTTTTTCCCCTATGCTTGTTTAATAATGGAATTCTGTCTAGCCTGCCTTCGGTTCAACATTCAGTTTTCAGTCCTACACAGTATTAGCTAGTGGACCTATTATGTACATTGTATGACTCCTGCCGTATCATTACCTGACCATCTATATACTAAATATAAATCCTGTCTGTCTTTCCATTGATACTAATTATGCTTTCACTTTCACTTATGTATATCCTTTCAGAACTTTAAGCCTTTGGCAGCAATCTTGGTGTGTTTTCTTAGCTTTTTCTCCTTGTAAGTGACGAGACTGAGTGAATGAGGGGGAGGAGAAAAAACGCATGAACAGATGCATCTGTCGCTCTGACTTCACTCAAAAAGATCTAATCAAGCCCTCTCTCTCTCTCTCTCTCTTAATCACTGATACATTTATTCACTGTGAGACTTTAAATGAACTGTTGTCATGTACTGCCACTGACTCCCTTTTTACAAAGGGAAAAAGACCAAAGCATCTGTGTGTGAAGAAAAGATGGAAAGACTGTGATGTAGAAAGAGATGGAGTAAGGGGATATGAAGGTTTGAAGAAGTATTAATGTCACAATGAGAGTATTTTGCATTTCAAGCAGGTTAAAAACTAAAGAATAAGGTATGCTTTGAGTGTTTACACGTTTAAAAAGGTCTGAAATGAAACGTTCTAGTTTCAGGAGAGGTATTTTTGGACAGTTACATGTCATTTAATGTGACTTTTGCAATGTGAAAATTTGCATTTTCCACAGAGTTTACAGTGACAGTGATAAGTTGCCTCGAATATTAAATGTTCTCTTCCTTCCTCTCCCCTCATCAGATACACCAAAATGAAGACTGCGACCAACATCTACATCTTCAACCTGGCATTAGCTGACGCTCTGGTTACCACCACAATGCCATTCCAAAGCACAGACTACCTGTTGAACTCCTGGCCGTTTGGTGAAATCGTATGCAAAGTCTTCATCTCCATCGACTATTACAACATGTTTACCAGCATTTTCACGTTAACCATGATGAGTGTGGATCGTTATGTGGCCGTGTGCCATCCTGTCAAGGCACTGGACTTCCGTACACCACTCATGGCTAAATGCATCAATGTGGGCATCTGGGTACTGTCTTCAGCTGCAGGAGTGCCAGCCATGGTGCTAGGGGGCACACAGACCAATAATGGTGAGTTCTGATAGCATCAGAAGACCTCTGAGGTTGCGCATCATTTTGCAGTCAGTGACATGTAAACATAGGTTTGTTGATGCTGAGCAATGCTATTCAGTTGAGGCTGACCATTAGGTCATTTCAGCGGAACTTGGCAGTTAATCCTTTCCTCTAAGCACGCTGAGCAGTTCGTGCTGTGGTGCTGTGTGGGCAGTAGTTTGACAAAGACGTGGTCTTTCAGCTGGCTTAACATCATTTAGAGGAAACATGTCAGCTCTGACCCTTTCAGATCCAAAAGAGGAGACTTCATGTTGACCTTGTCTTACAGCAGACTTTTACATCAGCCTGCCCTCTTTCATTTCATTAATCTCACAACACTTTTCTTTTTCTGCTCTATCCTTTTTTTTTTTAATCCATATCTCTTCCTCCTTCCTACTGCCACTTAGCAAACCTGAATAACTAGAGCAGGTGTCTGAAGAACTTCCTTCTCGTATAGAATTGGTCATAAATACCCTGTCAGAGATTTTTTAAAGGATTTTTAGTAAGGCATGATGATGGAGTTGGTAGGGCATTGTCCCATTAAATGACCTCTTGATTCTGGGCCAGCTAACGCTTTTCTTTTTTTATTTTGCAGGCACCACAGAATGTGCCCTGCAATTTCCTGACCCGTACGAGTACTGGGACACCTTGATGAAAATCTGCGTCTTTGTCTTTGCCTTCGTCGTCCCCGTCCTCATCATCAGTGTCTGTTACTCCCTCATGCTGCTGCGGCTCCGCAGTGTCCGCTTACTCTCCGGTTCTCGTGAAAAAGACCGCAACCTTCGCCGTATCACCCGCTTGGTCTTGGTGGTTGTGGCAGCTTTCATCATCTGCTGGACCCCCATTCATATCTTCATTCTGCTCAAAGCCATAGTGGCCATTCCTGAGACCACACCAGTGATGGCTGCATACTTTCTGTGCGTTGCTCTTGGATACACCAACAGCAGCCTCAACCCTATACTCTATGCCTTTCTGGATGAGAATTTTAAGCGATGCTTTAAGGACTTCTGTCTGCCAGCAAGGGGAAAAGCAGATAGAGGGCTGGGAGGTAGCAGAGGAGGAAGAATTGCAGGCAGACAGCTCCCTCAGGCTGAAGAGAGCCCCCCGAGGACTGCAAAACCAGCATGACTAGGTGTGGAACTGTCCTCCATCACGCAGACAGGAAAGGAGGACTCAAACACACTTGGCCTGACACAGGTGTCATCAACCCTCTGATCATGAAGACTACTGCCGATATTGGAGTGACTGGCTGAGATAAACCTTCCATCTCTTGCGAGAGCAGGGAGCACTGTGATAGACATGCCATGACGTCACACTAGGAAAAGTGTGATGGTGTGAGAGCCAACTGGAGGCTGTTGGGAATTCCACCCTTTGGCTGTGAAAATTGTTTTTGCTTTTTGGTTAACATATTGGATAAAACAGATTTACTGTCGCTGTCATATCAAAGCCTAGTAACTCCATTTTTTTAACTTTTTTTACACTTTTGTAAAACACCTTTACATTGTGCAAACATTTCATGGCGAATGGACATTGAAATTAAGAATATTTTTGCTTCTCCTAAAAAGTTACCATTTCGGAGATACAAGGTGCTTCTACGAAGTAAAATCTCTGACCTCACAACAACTGATTATAATGCTTTAAGAAAATAATTTAGTGCATCATGGTATCTCAAATTTCACCATGATTTCATTTAGTTATTTTGGTGGATTCAGAATTATTTCAATCAAGTACACACAGTGTCACTGACGCGAAGCACCACTTTTATTAAGCAGCCAAAACTAGTTGTAGCACACCCTTGTGGACAGTCTTCAGCCTGCTAAACGTGAGTGAGTTACTGTAACATAGATCTGTGAGGTGCTTCGCAATTAAAAATACACTGGATACACAAATATGACTGGAGGGACTATTTACACAGTCTTGGAAAATAGACATTAAAAACACCACACCAATATTTTCCATTTTGGCATTTGAAAATAGCTTGAGAATTTTATTTTTGCCAAAAAGTGTGCAAACACTTTAAAACAATGAATTATAATACATTTTACCATTCCAAAATCGATACAATTAAATTGCCACCTTCAGATGCATTTTTACATCTTTAATTTCTTTTGCACTTACATGTTTCTGGAGGCATGTATTTGCAACAGTCTTGCTCATGAGTTACCTCAGAGAAAAGGTTGATCCAGCTTTGATTCAGCTCTTTCCTCTTTACATCCATCCAGACTCATTCAAGCATACATACATCTGTTTCTTCATCCTGAACACCTATGGCACACAAAAATGTATACTCTTCATATGAATTGAATGTATAATTGTAAATATAACTCATATAAAATGGATGGATGAAGCTGATTGAACTGTGAAACTGTTAATGTATTTCTCAGGGATTTTGGGTTGCATTTCTAGTTAAAATAGATGCCTCTCTCTTCTGTCTTTCTTTTACCAATAGAGGCTATCATCACATGTTCCTGTTCTTATATTGTTATGTTTGATTATTGATTTCCATGTACTGAGAGTCATCTATTTTTAATTTTTTTTGTGTGGACATTTGTTGGGGATATCTTTGTATGTGCTTTTGTCTTTAGATCTGATGTAGCTGATCCTGCATTAGCAGTGTGATCATGTGGTTGAATGGCAGTCCTGCACTGTTCCTGTCTTTCTGTATTATATACAGATACAAGTGCACTTTAAAGGCCAGGATCCATGACCCCTCCAGCATAGTTTTACATATGAGCATAAGCACAACATACACCAAGCACATACTGAACATTTATTACTGCACATTTTCATGTAATTTACTTACACATTGGTTTATTGGTTTATTTATCTATCAAATAATAGTATATTCAAAACTACAGAGCTCTAAAGCATTATTTCTTAACGTAAGCTACTCTGTAAATGTGTTTTGAGACAGTTCATAGGACAGTAAGTCCCAGGTCATACAGTAAGGCATTTATTTATGTGCTTACATCCAATTAGCCTAAATTGTTTTGAAATTGGCCCATATAACATCTATATGCCTTGGCCATTTTGTTTGAGCAAAATGGAATTAAAAGATCCAGATCATGGAAAACAACTTTTCCCCCCAACTTACTTACTTGCTTGCTTACCTACTTACTTACTTATTTACTTGGATGAAATAGTTTGATGTAGTATGTAAACATTGTTAAAGTTTCAAAATATACTATTCACTCCCCATTCCATACAGTCCATGTTATGGAAACTAGCCTGCAAAAAGAGCAAATTTTGAACTTAATATTTTTGTGAAGTCATGAAAACCAACATGTTTACAGCCTATAGCAGTTTAGCCCCACCCATTCACAACAAAGTTATAAGGAGTGTTTCACAATACAGGACAGCCTATGAGATCAGAGATCATTTACATATCAGTGTATCTAAATATTAATTCTGACTGTTTCCAGTGCATAAACCCATGCAAACCTTACAAAGTAGGCCTCAGAGGAAAAACTAAAATTCAAGAAAAATGTAGGATATGGGGTCTTTAACATTCCACAGAATCATCTCACATTCAGCTTAAATCTGTCTCATGCCTTATGCTGGAGGGTCAAAATGAGTAATGAGAAAGAATGGTTTGTGTGCCCAAACCTGTGTCATCTCTTTGTTTATGTAAATCCTGACCTGAATGTTTTAAAATTTGGCAGAGGGCTTAATCTCGACATGCTGAAAACCTCCAGCTCGAGCAACAAATATTACATAATGTCACTGAGAGTGTGACGTCACTGAAATATATGATGTAAATTCATGTAGATAGAACTACAGAGTGCAAGCTGTAAGTAATTGGGCAATGACATCATGTGTTGTGTTCTGGCTCTGTACTCCAGCAGATTGGATTTGCACACAAAGCCTAGGAGGTTTAAGCAAAGGATTGGAAGCTGATATTACACCTTTAACCTCACAGTCATGGTTTCATTTTAAATCCACAGCTATACAGAGACAAAACAACAACAATGGCACCACTGTTCATTTACTTACACACTCTGTTGTGTATTACTCTCGTCTGCGTTCCTGTATACAGCATAAAAAGCACCAACAAATATTTATTGTACTTACAGCATGTAAATCCTAATGTATTAACAGTGATTAGTTGGGCATATAAGGTTTCAGTATGCTTGTTTTGGGTTTTTTTTTAACTGTAAGAACTATACGCTTTTACTTTATTGTTCTGCATGAACATATGAATGTATTGTGTAATATTCAAAGTCTATCTAAGAGTAAATACATGTCATTAACAGTGGATTTGTGTTGCAGCTCCTGCTTATGATATGTGTAATTTAAGTGACCTGAATGAGCCCTTGTACAGTATTAACAGGAATGTATTTGCAGCAGTTTATTTATGTAAGTAGGCTGTTTATATTTATTGACATTTATTTTTGTAGACTGCTCCAATTATGTCTGAAATATGTCTCACATTTTGGGTTTATGAAAATATCTGAAGATGCAAATGCTATAATAAATAAATAAACACACACACACACACACACACACACACACATCATCTAAACCGCTTGTCCTCCTGGGTTGCGGGGTGGTGCTGAAGCCTATCCCGGCTGTCATTGGGCGGAAGGCAAGACACACCCTGGACGGGTTGCCAGTCCATCGCAGGGCAGACAGACATATACATCCACACACCGTCACACCTAGGGGCAATTTAGCATGTCCAGTTAGCCTGACTGCATGTCTTTGGACTGTGGGAGGAAACCGGAGTACCTGGAGGAAACCCACACAGACACGGGGAGAACATGCAAACTCCACACAGAAAGGACCCCGGTCACCCAGCCAGGAATCGAACCACCCCCTTCTTGCTGTGAGGCAACAGCAAATAAACAATACAGTAAAATAGTACATAAATAGTAAATAAATAACATTAAAAAAATAAAAACTGGAACCTGTAAAGTATTAATCTTGTCATCTTTAGTGTTGATGTAAATAGCAGATATTTTCTTCTCTGTTATTGCCCATAACAGTTTGTAACAGGCCTTACATCTCTTTTATCTCAAACAAAAGAGAGAATTTATGATAAAATTAGAAGAACAAGAATGAATATATTCTGTAATCAGTACTGTGTGTTTTCTTTTAAATATTTATGTGTGAGTGTTTAATATATAGTTCAATGAAAAAACAACGTGAGGACAAGTGTGTGTGGGTGTGTATGTGTGTGTGTGTGCGTGTGTTACAAAGAGAATTGGCTTTTTACAGTTACTGTCTAAATCTATGTTGTAACTTCAGTTTCTGCTACTGGAAATGTTAATGAAATAAAAGGAAATAAAACTCTGCCGTTGCACGGAATCTGCAGTGTTCTCACATTTGTCACTGTTGTAAGCAGGAATGCATAAGCACATGATTCAAAAGCTGAACAGCAAGATTCACACTGTCTCCTTGGGTAAATCATCCTGTATATGAATCTTCTGCCTGAGTTAAAATAAATGTGAATGACCAAAGCAAAGATAGTGTGTCATGTTAGACTGAATGCCAATAAAGTTCTGTGCAAAAATCAGAGGCCACCCTTCATTTATTTATATTTCATTTATTATTTAATTTCCAGTCAAAATGATCATTAAGTATGAGTTATTGATTTTTCAGTGTCAGAAAAAAGCAAAACAATTACATGGAAGTCTCAACAACTAAATATAATGTCATTTTTAAACATTCAGTACTTCCAGTTTTCCCATCTTTGCTTTTGTTACAGGTTTCAGTTTTTCAAAGAAATCTGCACAGCTATAAAGTTCAGTCTTAGAGGTTGGTTGCATAAAGTCATCTCAAACTCATATAGTAATGTTGAGGTCTGGGGTGTTCAGTCCATTCTGAGAACACCAGCAGCTTCTTTGTTTGATTTGCATGTTTTATTCTTTTCCTTCTGTTTCTTTTTTTTCTCAGTAACGGCTTCTTGACAGCTACACATCCTTTTCGTCTTACAGTTTTCTTCTCACAAAGGAAGGCTGGACAGAAACAGCTGTGGATGTTTTCAGATCTGAAGTAAGAGGGGAGGTTGGTTTTCTCCTCTCTCTCAGATATGAAAGCTTTAAGTACTGTTTATCTGATGGGGACAGTGTTGGTGCTCTCACAGGTCTTGTATGGTTATGATGAGTCCCATTCTCTCTGTATCTTTTAATCATTTTTGGAACTTTTAACTTTTGAAAACTTTTTTTTTTCACTTATGTTCCTTTGACTTTGTCCTTCTTTACGCAAGTGGATTATCTTATATCTAATTTTGCACGTAATG